TCTTACACCCCAAACAAGTAACAGCTGATGATATTATAACAAGGTACCCGGAAATCTCAACTACTTATCATAAAAGCCAGAATAGTAAGGAAGCTCATTGCAAGAGTCTTTAATGTTACGCAGAAAATGCCACAAAAATAAATTCTAAACATATTTTTCAAAACTTATTAACACAAATAGAAAAAAGATGAATAAGCATTTACATATTATGAACCCAACAGTTTATTTAATACGAACAAGCATTTCCCTGTATTGTGTTTAACATATTACTGTACTATCAAACCTTACGAATGTTATCCAAAAATTGCCAAGAAAAAAAAACACTCGAAATATATTTTCATACACACTACTGATTTAAACTAATATTCAAACAGAAAAGAAGCATCAAAATACCGTATTAGAAAATGCCGAAATAAACTTGGGTTTGCAGCAGGTCAATTGGGCGACGGTGGTGGTTAGCGCCCGGTCCTGGATTGGCGGAAGAACGGCGGTTTTCGGCAGAGATCTGGGCAACCGGTGGTGAACTGTTCGGAGGAAAAATAAGAGAGGAAGGAAAATATAGATAGAGAAGAAAAAGAGAAAGAAAAAAAAAATGGCGGCGGCTGCTAGGACTGGGGAGGCGCTGTCGCGGCTGGGCAGTGGCAATTGTTGGCGTGATTCGGTCGATCGTGAGAGATAAAGAGAGATTTGCGTACATACAAATCCACCCTTTAACTTTTTAAATTTAAAATGACTATATTACCCTTTTTTAATCTAAACCATTATTTATTGTGATGGACTGTCCATATTCTATCAATATTGCCGGATCCACCTCCCATAACTATATATATTTTCTTTTTCATATTGTTTTATAATTAATAAAATTTTTAAAAACATGGGTTTGTTTATTTAGTATTTTGATTTTAATAATTTTTTTATCGTAAAGCATAAGAAATTGTGTCGATAATATAAAAAAATAATATTTTGTATTGAATATTGATTTTTGTGACATAATGAAATATAAATATTGGGAATAATGTTGGAAAAAAAATTGGGTAAAAAAAGTGTATGTTGTCTTTATATAAGTAGTATTTAAGAAGAAGTATTGTATACATATAGAGTTGTAAACGAGTCGAAATGAATCGAGCTTTTCGTGTTTAACTTCAAATCGGAAAGATTTTGAGTTCGGCTTATTTTTATTTGTTAATATATACGAGTTAAAATTTTTGTTTGAACTTGGCTTTTTAAGCAATGTTTTTTTTTTCCGTTAAAATTTTTGTTTGAACTCGGCTTTTTAAGCAATTTTTTTTTTCATGTTCAGCTCCAGTGGGCTTGTTAATAGAATTTTGATTTATTTTATTTTACTTTATTTTAATTTAAATTCAATTAAAAATTATATTTTTTATTAAATAAAATTCAAATAAAAAATTAGAATTAAATATAATATTTATAAAGATATATAGTTATTAAATATAAAAATATTAATTTATTTTTTAAACAAATATTATTGAACATTCACAAACAAGTTCGAATTCATTTGTAAACGAGCAAAATTTTATTTTCATGTTTAGTTCATTTAGTTTCGCAAACGAGCTTTTAATGAGCCGAGTTGAGCCAAGCTCGCGAATTATTTATTTATTTTACGACTTTATATAGATATAAATTTCACATCAAAGATGTGGATGCATCAAATGCTATTACGTGTAATAAAATGATTAGAGCAATGATTGGTTATTTTTTTTAATTTTACTAGTCAATAATTGGTTAATTTACAACCAAATAGTTGGTCTATTTAGTCGTCTATAAAAATAGAAGACTTCTTCTATATTCATGTTTATGGTGAAAAAGAAAGAAAAGACACTGTTAACTACTTTCCTCACACTTCTGCATATATTTTCATATACATTGTTATATTATACATGTCTTAATTTTGGTGACAACAATGTGTTTCACAACTATTGGTATGTATATATATGTATACATTTTTTTTATTTTGAAATTTGTTTTATTTTGTTTATTACAATTACTTTCTCTTTTATTTAAATTTAGGTTTGTTTACTTAGATTTAGAGAATGTTTGACAAATAGCTTTTTGAATAGTTTTTAACTTATTGAACAGCTTTTAACTGTTTGACCAGTCAAATTAGCTTTTTGGAATAGCTTTTTGAATTCAAGACGCAAATTTCTGAAAAGCTAACTTACCCAGCGTTTTGAAATAACTTTTTCTATAAAAAAAATTTTATTCCTTATATGCCTTTAAAAATTTATTATACATTTTACACAAATAAATATATTTTGATTATTTATTAATTATATTAGAATATTTTATTATATTATAGTTTTACTTTTATAAATTTAAAATAATTAATTTTTATATAAAAATTATTTTAATTGTAAAATATATAAATTTATTAAAATCAACATAAATAAAAAATATAAATATTAATAATTTATTTTTTTATTAAAATTACATTATATAAATTTTATACTAAAAATAAATTAAATTTATTGAAAATTATAAATATAATGAACTAATGGATAACTAACATAATAAATATATACACGAAAAATTTATTATTTTATATTTTACATCATTTTCAATAAAAAAAACTATTTATATATTTTAATAAAAATATATTATTTTTTAAATCTAACTGTAATAAAAATAAATACTTTTATAACATTTTTACAATTTTCAATAACTAATAACAAAATATTTTAAACATTCTAAACTCAAAAACATAATTGAATATATTAGAAAAAAAATAAAATAGAAATGTCATCAATTGTCATTTTATATGTAAACAACTAATATCAAACAGTTGTTTTACCAAACATTTTAATACAAACAGCTAATCGAATCAACTAATTAAACCAGCTAATTGAATCAGCTAACAGCTATCAGCTAATTAAATCAGCTAACAACTATCAACTAATTGCCAAACACGCCCTTAGAGTGTGTTTGGAAAATAGTTTTTTTAAGAGCTTATTGAACAACTTTTAGTTGTTTGATCAGTCAAACAGCTAATTTAGGTGTTTGATAAATTAGCTTTTTGGAATAGTTTTTTGGACTCAAAAAGCTAATTTTGAAAAGCTAACTTACCAATCGTTTTGAAATAGCTTTTTCAGTTTAAATTTTTTTATTCCTTGTATGTCCTTAAAAATTTATTATGCATTTTACACAAATAAATATATTTTAATTATTTATTAATTACGTTAGAATATTTTATTATATTATAGTTTTACTTTTATAAATTTAAAATAATTAATTTTTATATATAAATTATTTTAATTGTAAAATATATAAATTTATTAAAATCAATATAAAATAAAAAATATAAATATTAATAATTTATTTTTATATTAAAATTACATTATATAAGTTTTATACTAAAAATAAATTAAATAAATTAAATTTATTGAAAATTATAAATATAATGAACTAATCGATAATTAACATAATAAATATATATACGAAAAATTTATTAGTTTATATTTTACATCATTTTTTTAATAGGAAAAACTATTTATATATTTCACTAAAATATATTATTTTTTTAACTATAATAAAAATAAATACTATTTTATAACACTTTTACAATTTTTAATAACTAATAATAAAAAATTTCAAACATTTTAAACTCAAAAGAACACATTTGAATATATTAGAAATAAAATAAAATAAAAATTTCCTCAATTGTCATTTTACGTCTAAACAACTAATATCAAACAGTTGTTTTACCAAACATTTTAATACAAACCAGGTAGTCAAACCAGTTAATTGAATCATCTAACAACTATCAGCTAATTGTCAAACACGCCCTTAGTTTTAGGAGTTTTTGGTACAAAAAATGAAATTGCAGATAAATAAGAATAGATAATGAAATTGCAGAACAAATGAATTCATTAGAAAATGAGAATTAAAATTTCGTTTGGTAAAATAATTATTTCAGTTGAGAAGTGCAAAAAAAAATACGGCTATTTAGATCGATCGATAAAAAATAAATAATTAATTGAGCAATAGAGAGAGTTTTTAACGAGAGAGGATCCATGAAAAATATGTTTAGCATTTTTTTTATTTAAATAATAGATTAGATACAATATTAAAAAAAATTGTAAAAATATAATACTTAAATTAATAAATTAATAGATTAGATGCAATATTTTCGTTTTTGTTTGTTCCAAACTCAATGCAATATTTTTAAATTTAGAAATAATTAATAATATTTTTATACATATATTAATATCCATTTCACTTAATCCCATCACATCACTCAAATAAAAAAAATAATAATTATTTTTCTCCCCAATCACATAACTAAATATTCAAATTATCTCAAATTATCATACTTAATACTCCCCACCTAAATTATCGTGTCAAACACAAATATTGCACAGTATTTGGAACGGATGAAGCGAGTATAATAAATAAATATATATATATATATATATATATATAGAAGAAGCAATTATGCAATGTGAAAGGCTTTCTTTTTGTTATAGATTAATAAGTTAAACTGTCTTATTTAATAATTACAGTATTTTGCAAAAAGGCTTTCTTAAATAATAAAATAATAAAGTAAATGACCAATCTACCCTCAGTCTGTTTCTTCCATGGAAACCACACTGGAAGGAAGTCCTGCTGGTTCTTGAAGTCAATTCCATAACTACCAAAGCCATTTCCATTTTTTTTTTTTTTTTTTTTTTTTTGAATTAAGTATGCATACATACTGCTTTATATGCATATATAATATTTACATACTTTTAAAATAATTATTTTAGGAAAATTCTCTTGAGCTGTATGTGTTCTCCTCAATTAGAATCACGAAATTTCCAAGTAAATCATGGTTTGAATCCAGGCCATTGATGTGTAGACCCCGCGCCACGAACGGTGCAGATTCACCAGGCCCTCAGCTCCGGGAGCTTCCAAGAAAAAACCGAGGACCTCGCGAAGTAGTGTCAATATATACGTGCAAGATCCTTGCACGAACTCCATGCAATCGACTCGATCATCAATTTCAAATCCCTAACGTTAAAATTAACCTCCAAAAATGGCACCGGCGGTGGCGGTGGCAGCGGCGGCGGCAGTTCCCGATCGGGCCGAGGAGGTGAAGCGATTCAACGAAATGAAGACCGGAGTTAAGGGCTTGGTCGACGCCGGCGTCGCCAAACTCCCGAGAATCTTCGTCCACCCGCCGGAGATTCTTGAGAGCAAGCCACCGGAAAATGAGGCCGTCGCGGAGCTCCCCACCGTCGACTTCGGGGGGCGGCGGGAGGTCGTAGTCGAGACCATCCGCCGGGCGGCGTCGGAGTGGGGATTTTTCAGAATCACGAACCACGGAGTGCCGGCGGAGGTGACGGACGGACTGCTGACGGCGGTCCGGAAGTTCCACGAGCAGCCGACGGAAAAAAAGGCAGCGCTATTTTCAACCGACAGCCGGCGTAGAGTTCGGTTCAACAGCAACGGATTTGTCCTGAAGGAGAACGACTTCGCCTGCTGGAAGGATATGCTCACCTGCGTCTACACCGACGACTTCCTCGACCCGGAAGAGATTCCTCCGGTCTGCCGGCGGGAGGTCGGAGATTACGTCCGGCATATGATCCGGATGAGGGAGACGCTGGCGGAGCTGCTGTCGGAGGGGCTGGGACTCGAGAGGCAGTATTTGTCGAACATGGAGTGTATGAAGAGCGAAGCCCTGGCTTGTCTGTATTATCCCGTCTGCCCCGAGCCGAAGAAGACGTTAGGAACTCCGAAGCATTCGGACACCACGTTTCTGACGCTGCTCCTTCAGGACGTCGGCGGCCTCCAGATTCTTCACGGCGGTCGGTGGGTCGATGTCCCACCTGTCCCTGGAACACTCATAGCCAACGTCGGAGATCTTATGCAAGTAAGAATCAATTTCCACATATATATATATATATATATATAGACAGTGCTGACAGTACAGTACAAGTATATTACTATAAACAACACATGATATGATGATAAACACTACATACATTTATATTAATAGAAGGTTAAATTGCACAAAACTTACACGTGATTTTATAAAATTGTGCTAAATATCTATACTTCTACAACTACATAAAACTACTTCTGGTTTTATAAACTCTATGTCTAACATCTTCGGCGGTATTTGACATAAATGAGCCTAAACTGTGAATAAATTTTAGAATCTCAATTTCTAAACTCCTAAAATTACAAATATAAGAAAAATAAATATATTTTTAATTTTAGGGGTTTCGAACTTTGAAATTCTAAAATTTATTCGCAGGGCGCATTTAAGTCAAATACTATGAAATAAGGACGGCCGAAAAAATTAACTGCAGAGTTTATGAATCTACGAGGAGTTTGACGCAGTTTTATAAATATGGAAATTTGGCATAATTTTATAAAACCACATATGAATTTTATACAATTTAGCCTTAATAGAATACAAATACAACACATAAACATACAATATATCATAATAGTCTACATAATAACACCTACCATCGATAGATACATATAAAGAGAGTCTAACTCTGTCTATTTATATGTTCCAGATTATAAGCAACGACAAGTTTGTGAGCGTAGAGCATAGAGTGAGAGCTCAGGCCGAAGGGGCAAGGGTGTCGGTGGCGTGCTTCTTCACGCCGAGCGTGAAAGCGGCCGGAAAGGTATTCGCGCCGGTGAAGGAGCTGGTGTCGGAGGAGAATCCAGCTGTGTACAGAGAGTTCTTCTTCAGGGATTACTGTGAGTATTACAAGACAAAGGGGCATAATCTCTCGGCTTTGTCTCACTACAGGATTTGATCATCGCCACAATCATATATATATGTATATGTATGTTATAATCCCATGTTTCGAGCTACGCTAGCTGTAATAAAGTTCACTTCCATTGCGCGCCAATTAAATATAAAACACAAACCCGATACAATTGTTGCAGCGAAAACCACATGACACAACAAGATCAATAAAAACAGATCGATTCCCCGCCCATCTCAAAAGATAAAATAAATTTGAACACACCTCATCGGATTGCTTCTGGACAGAGATTAATGAGAGATTTCAGGTTGCAGAAGCTGCATTAGAGACCACAAGACGTCCATCCTGTGAGCCCTCGCTCTGTTATTCTTCCCCTGCAAAAGAATCGACAAAGGATGGAATAGCCAGGTTATGTTATAATCTGCGACAATGCTATCCATATGCAAGAGATTGAAGCAACCTATGGCCGATCAAAGCTAAAAAATAATCGGTAATATCACAAAGCAGTACCTGCACCAAAAAGCACATCCACATCTTGTTTCTGCAAGCTTCCGACACACCTTTCACAATAATCAGACCCAAGCTTCGAATGGTTTCTGCTATTTCTAGAAATTAACTGCACTCGCTGCATAGCATCTGCAATAGACAAGGAATGAAAATCGAATACTTGTACCCACCGCTGGGTATAAGTCTCGTTAGAGATCCGAAGAAATGGTTTAACACAAATCACTTTTCTTACCTCAACCAGCATTTTTCCGTTCATATTTACGTTTTCCACCATTATTGGGCATACTTTTTCGTTGCTTCCAACTTCCACGGCCCAGCTGGAACCTTGCTCGTGACAGGAGAATCGTCGCATACCTTTGTCCTTATCGAGCAACTGGAATCAAAGATGGTTTGGAACATGAAATCTTCAAATTCATTTATTCAGAACTTTATGCATTAGAGGATTCGATATATCAACTGTGAGTACCTTAGACACCATTTATTTACTTAAGTTTTCGGCGTGCTTTGTAATGCTTTGCGAAAAATGTATGTGTTTGATTGTTCGTTCAAGAAGTGAATCAATGTTGCACTGTTAGTCAGAAATTTCAGCAATTTAAATATAGAATTACAGATAAGAAAACAACGAGGATGGCAATAGATATCACCTTTGATCCATTAGGAATGAGCTCCCGCAACTCCTTGATTCGATCTTGGATCAATTGTCTGTCCCTAGGTCTTGGCCGACAACTTTCACCAGGTCTAGCTCTCTTCTTATTAGTCTTGACACCTTCTCGGGCCCTATTCAACTTTCCACTTCCCTTACTGGAACTTGTCGTCGGAAAATTTTTACAAGTGTCGACCCCACATGCCACTGGTTTCGAGCTACTCAAAATTCCTTGATCAAACGAATATCCTGCCGAGCTAATAGAACTAAACAAGAGGGGTTCTCCAATGTCACGGCATGAAATCTCATTTTCTGTTTCTTCATCCTTTCGACTTACTTTGCCCACCACCGCATCCAAAAGTTGCCCATCAGTGTCTATTCCTTCTGGAAAATCAACAGCCATACAATTTGCAGTTTTTTCAGGCTCCCGTGCATAGTCATTTTGCTTCTGAAAAGATGGCCCCAATGCTTCAAAAAGTTCATAACCGGCATAGTAACTCAAAGGCGAAATCGCTTTCTCAACATGCCCAGATTCAACAGGTAGTTCTAGAGTCTCAAAACCTTGATGCAACTGTAGATTTTGGAGTTCGGGAACATGAGCATCATCTTGGTCCTGAAAAACTGAAGAATCTAGAAATCCCAGCAGAGGATTGTACGCAACTAATTGAGTATTGTCAGATGGTAGAGTAGCATTAAACAAAGTAGATTAATTATTTCTGAAGTTCTTAACATGCATCACACTCACTACTTCTGGTTTCTTACCCAAATCCTTTGAATCACTCATTTCTCCTCCATACTTTGTGCTCTATGTGGTTTTATTTTCTCTTGTTGAAGTTGCATCAAGTGGGAATTTCCACATCTTGAGGAATTCGAAAATATGAAACCAAGTATGTTTGCTTTACTTGGACTGTGTAGCTTGTATTAGTATAACTATGTATGGCTTGATCTCGTTCGGGTATGTAGGAAACCCACTTTAAGTGCAGCCATTGCTATATAAAAAAATCCTAAACCCTTGACCCTAACCTTAACCCTAAACCTCCCTTTGACAATTAGAGGCGTTTTTTGAGCGGACACAAACGGTCTTTCGACTTTTTATTTCAGATAGCAGAAATCACTTTCTTATTTGCTTTTGAGATACTTAGTATTGGTAAATTATATTTAGACTTGATAGACTTAGTCTTATTTGGTTGCTGTTGATGCGCATGTTGCTTTTGGCCTTTGATACTTAAACTACCTAGGCTTTTCTTGTATGTTTGTACTTGGACTGTATAGCTTGTATCAGCAGAACTACGTATGGCTTGATCCCGTTTGGGTACGTAGGAAGCCCACTTTGGGTGCAGCTATTGCTATATAAAAGATTCCTAAACCTCCCTTAGACGATCAGAGGTCTTTTACGAGAGGACGCAGACGGTCTTCCAACTTTCCGTTTTAGGTAGTAGGTTTCTCTTTCTTATTTGCTTTTGAGATATTTAGTATTGAGAGATAATATTTAGACTTGATAAGCTTAGTCTTGTTTGGTTGGTGTTGATGTCTTAGGCATGTTGCTTTTGGCTTTTGATACTTAGACTACCTAGGCTTATATTATATGTTTGTTTTACTAGGACTGTATAGCTTGTATCAACAGAACTACGTATGGCTTGATCCCGTTCGGGTACGTAGGCAGCCCACTTTGGGTGCAGCTATTGCTATATAAAAAATTTCTAAACCTCCCTTAGACGATCAGAGGCCTTTTACGAGCGGACGTAGACGGTCTTCCAACTTTCCATTTTAGGTAGTAGGTTTCTCTTTCTTATTTGCTTTTGAGATACTTAGTATTGATAGATAATATTTAGACTTGATATGCTTAGTCTTGTTTGGTTGGTGTTGACTTCTTAGGCATGTTGCTTTTGGCCTTTGATATTTAGACTACCTAGGCTTGTCTTGTATGTTTGCTTTACTTGGATTGTATAGCTTGTCTTATTAGAACTACGTATGGCTTGATCCCGTTCGGGTACGTAGGCAACCCACTTTGGGTGCAGCCATTGCTATATAAAAAAGCCTAAACTCTAACCTCAACCCTAACCCTAACCCTAAACTCCCTTTGATGATCAGAGACCTTATTCGAGCGGACGCAGACGGTCTTTCGACATTTTGTTTTAAATAACATACTTCACTTTCTTACTTGCTTTTGGAATACTTAGAATTGATAGATGATATTTCTAGTTGATAGACTTAGTCGTGTTTGGTTGGTGTTGATGCGCATGTTGCTTTAGGTCTTTGATACTTAGACTTACTAGGCTTATCTTGTATGTTTGCTTTACTTGGACTGTATAGTTTGTATCATCAGAAATACGTTTGACTTGATCCCGTTCGGATACGTAGCCAACTCACTTTGGGTGCAACCATTGCTATATAAAATATTTCTAAACCCTTCTTCGACGATCATAGGCCTTTTGCAAGTGGACCTAGACGGTCTTCCGACTTTCCGTTTTAAGTAGTAGGCTTCTCTTTCTTATTTGCTTTTGAGATACTTAGCATTGACAGTTGATATTTAGACTTGATAGGCTTAGTCTTGCTTAGTTGGTGTTGATGTGCATGTTGTTTTTGGCTTTTGATACTTAGACTACCTAGCCTTATCTTGTATGTTTGCTTTACTAGGACTGTATAGCTTGTATCAGCAGAACTACATATGGCTTGATCCCGTTTGGGTACGTAGGCAACCCACTTTGGGTGCAGATATGCTATATAAAAAATTCTTAAACCTCCCTTAGACGATCAGAGGCCTTTTACGAGCGGATGCAGACGGTCTTCCAACTTTCCGTTTTAGATAGTAGGTTTCTCTTTCTTATTTGTTTTTGAGATACTTAGTATTGATAGATAATATTTAGACTTGATATGCTTAGTCTTGTTTGGTTGGTGTTGATGTCTTAGGCATGTTTCTTTTGGCCTTTGATAGTTAGACTACCTAGGCTTGTCTTGTATGTTTGCTTTACTTGGATTGTATAGCTTGTCTTATTAGAACTACGTATGGCTTGATCCCGTTCGTGTACGTAGGCAGCCCACTTTGGGTGCAGTCATTGCTATATAAAAAATCCAAAACCCTAACCCTAAACCTCCATTTGACGCTCAGAGGCCTTATTCGAGCGGGAGAAATGACTGCTCCATTGGGATGTGTCTCTCAAGCAATATTGCCCAAAGTTGGTCAAAGAGTTCTACGCCAATCTCTCTCGAAAAGTGATGGATGATGGAAGCCCATGGTTTCACAGGGTGTATGTTCGTGGAAAGGTGTTTTAACTTAGTCCGTTGGTGATCAAAAAATTGTTGAAGCTGCCGTTTGACAACCCCGAAGAATTACCATCCTCCTTGTTGCAAGAATCAAAACAAGAACTTGCTCTCCACCTTTCTACCCGAAAGTCCGATGATTTTGGACGAGCAGGCTTAGTTGCCACCGAGCTCACAATGAAGTTTCAATGCCTCTTTTGTTTATGTGCCATGAATGTCTTTCCCACGAGCAATGGCATGAACATTGGCTCCGAAATGGGTAAACTGCTACTCTCCATTGATAAATTTTATTCAGACATCAATTTCGGCTTTGTTGTTCTCTCCAAGATGTTGAAGTTTGCACGAGGCCAAAAATTTGAAGGGACCAATCTATCATATCTTGTCCCTATCACTCTACTCTTGAAGAAGAATGGCATTTTACCATAACCGTCTGAAGACCTTGTTGAAACAGGCTTCTTCAAGCCCTACTCGAACCTGCAGAAACTCCATAATAATTTCAAAGGGCCCCTTCCATCCGATCCTTCAGGTCAACTTCTGGAAGCCCGTCATCTACTTCTGGAGGTTCTTCAGGAACAATTCACCATTCGCACAACTTTAGGCGAACACAGAAAGAAGATCATCCGTGCTCTCCATTTGC